AATAATATTAAGACATGGTTCCTACATTCGTAACGAGCTCTGATTGCAGCGCGGTCTAGATTGACATCTGAATCTAGACTCTTGTCTCCAAATATAATCCAATGCAAATTTCATCTTGATATGTTTCTAGTTTCTACATTTATTTATTTTTCTTTATTCAGAAAAGCACAGCTCTTTTTAAATTTTAATTATCTACAACGTTTGTAGATATGAAATGCAATAAAACACTGGAGCTTTTGTTAGTTAGATATTGAGTTCCTTACGCAGATTTCTGAAACCACTGAAATGAATACCGAAGTAAGTATACTTACAAGATTATGAGTAACTTACTTACTAGTGGGATACTCCCAGTAAAGTGAGTAAAGCAAATAAAATACAAAGTTTAAGACCATTCTATAAGGAGAGTCACGTTGAATCTTTGAAAGGTTTATCAAATTAAAAGTCGGAGACACGTAACGTTCTCAAACTCGCACAGAACGCCGCAAAACCGTTCTCAGAGAGGGCAATACCTATTTACCCTGGTAATTATCAATTAGGAGTGCAGCTAAGTTGCCTGATGCAATGTCAGACGAATCAGCCCCTTCATCAAGGGTGTTTGCTGATTTTAGAGCGATACACGACTTTTCTGTTTATCCTAACAAAATTACGAGGAGATGAAACGCAATTTGAGACTTTACTTGTATTATTATGTCAATAAGTATTTCAAATGGGTAAATATTGACATAAAATTTAAACCGTGACTGTACTCATACAAAAACTAAAAAATCTAAATCACAAGTCTTTTACTTAAACATTTAATAAACACAAATAAAAAAATATTCAATAACAATCAGGAACATAAAATATCACAATCTTAATACCTACCTATAGTAAATAAATCAGCTAAAAATAACGCTCGTGGGTACGGTCCAATGAGTGTACATAACTGTTTACAACAATAGCAAAATATATAAAAGTACCTGAAAATATACGTAAGTAGGTATAGTTACATACTTAGAACGCTTCATATTTCATCATTAGTGTACTATAAGTAGGGTAGACCGGGGACAATAGTACCATTTTTTGGAAATTGTTCAATATTGAAAAATCTAATGAAATGTAACTTATTCTGTTAGGATGTTGTAAAAACTAGACTCTTAAGCTACAAATTTAAGCATGCAGAGTTGAACTATTATTTCGAATACTTACTTAATGAAAAACGAATTTGAACTGTACGATGTCTCTTTCTCCTATTAGTGAAATACTATATTCATGTGAAACTCATTGTAAGGATTTCACCAACTTGGACTTTGTGATAATCCTCGGAGGCTCTAACGATAAAAACCCTATGAATTTGCAATCCTTTTTACATTATCATATACACAAAATTAATTACACAAATGTTCTGGTTGGACAAGTCCATAAAAGTAAATATCTGAACCTGAAATCTCTAAATTATATGTTAAAACTTATATGTAATAACAATAAAAATACCTCGTTCATTCAATTAGACTTAGACTCTCTTGACAATTTTGGATACCCAATATTGTTTAATAAACAACTGTCAAGTCAATTACTACTTAGGAAAATACTACAGATAAATTACAGGGAAACATTTCTAAATTACCATAATAACTTAAGAATAGAGTCTAAATCTACTTGTAATGCCTATTCACAGACAGATTTCCCTCAAAGCGAACAGGTAATAACAAAAAATGTAAACAAGCAAACTGACTGTGAAATACCTCTAGATTCCAACGGTGATTTTTTTCGAGAGTCACAAAACCCAAATGTAACAACATAATAAAAGATAATATTCCTTATGACGACTTTATCACATATAAACATATATTAGTAATGCATCAAAATATAAATGGACTGCTTAACAAGTCAGATATGCTGAGTGTTCATCTATGGAATATGGTCCAGGAGGATAAGTTGATTGACATACTATGCATAACTGAACATAATATGAAGGAATGTGACAGTGAGCATATCAACATTCCAAACTATAAACTAGGCGCCATTTGTTGTCGAAATAATCGTAGTGGGGGTGCCTGTATACTTGTTAGAAATGTACATACATATAAAAAACTCGACCTTCAATTTTTCGGTGCTTTTAATTCTATTGAAAGCTGCGGTATAGAATTGCCTGAACACAATATAGTTATAATATGCATCTATCGTGCCCCAAAAAATAACATAGACACAATGACTACCTTTTTTAGCTGCCTGAATGACATCTTAACAAAATATTGCATCAGAACTAATAAAAAAGTAATTGTGTGCGGTGATTTTAATATTGATATTTTGAAAAATACCAGATACTCGACGGAATTCCAAAACATAATGCTAAGTTATAATTTAAAATTAAGTGTACGTGAACCTACACGCCTAACAAGTGGAACTTGCATCGACAACATTGCCCACAATATCCATGGTAGTAAATCAGAAGTGGTAGAATTTGCCCTATCGGACCACACTGCTCAGATTATTAAATGTCCAGTTAAAAAATCATGTACCTTTTCGCATTGGTACTCTGTTAAACGGGACTTTTGTAGAGAAAACATGAATAAGTTCGGGGAATGCCTTCAAAGCTTAAGTTTTAGTGAAGTTTATGGTCAATCTAATGCAAAGGATGCATTTGCAGCATTCTATGATCTATTTCGATTGTTTTATAACCTGTGTTTTCCAATGATTAAACGTAAAATATCAATAATAAAAAAACCTAAATGGATATCGAATGGCATTCGGAAATGTTGCAGACATAAACGTGACATGTTATGGCAATTCAGACTATTTCCTAGCAAAGAAAATAAAGTTAAACTACAACAGTACTCGAAAAAAATTAAAAAAATTATCTCACTCACAAAAAAATCGCAAAATATTCACTACATTAACACGGCTAAAAATAAGTCAAAAGCAACATGGAACACTATAAATAATTGTAAAAAACTATTCCCAAAAGAAAACATTTCATCTCTTTCGTATAACGGTAAAATAATTAAAGACCCACAAATTATAGCAGAAGTATTTAATGGCCATTTCATTGACCAAGTCGTCCCCCTACAGATCCCTAGTCCCGATAGCGTAAAAATAATTAATGGCACTACTTGCCATCAATCAATTTACATGAGCCCGACTATCCCTGATGATATGTATGTTACAATAATGTCATTAAAAAACACATATAGCTGTGGATACGACGACATAACAACGGTAAGTATCAAATATGTAGCTCCGATTATTGCTCCTGTTCTCAGTTTCATAACAAATCTATGCCTAGAAGATGGTTACTTCCCCCAGGAACTGAAAGTATCCATTATTAAACCACTTTTTAAAAAAGATGACAGAATGAATGTCAACAATTACAGGCCTATTGCGTTAATTCCAATTTTCTCTAAAATAATCGAAAAAATTATTTACAGCAAAATGATAAGCTTTTTGGAAACAAAAAATATCTTAGCTGAAGAACAATTTGGATTTAGAAAAAATAAAGACGTTAATTTAGCAATTTATCGTTTAATTCATAAAATTTTTGAGTGTGTTGACAAAAAAGTACCTGTGACTGCATTATACATGGACATGACGAAGGCCTTTGACTACGTCAATCAAACCCTTCTTCTCAAAAAGTTGTGTGCGTGTGGCATAAGAGGAAACGCCCTGAAACTTTTAGAATCCTACCTAACTGAAAGGCAACAAATAACGTGCATTAACAGAATATGTTCAAAAACATTAACTAACAGCTGCTATTATTCAACAAAACAACGTGTAAAATATGGAGTGCCGCAAGGCAGTGTTCTTGGGCCTTTGTTATTTCTAATTTATGTAAATGACTTGCCAAAGGTTACTCAGCACCCTATGACTTTGTTTGCTGACGACAGTACAGTTCTATTTACTGGAAGTGATACTATGGGATCATATGAATCTGACATTAATAAAACATTAAATGACATAATACAATGGCTATCATTAAATAATATTAAAATTAATCTAGATAAGACCCTTTTCATGACATTTAAACTAAATCACAATAATCTTAATATACAATATGACAATAAAAATATTAAAGAAACTGACGTAACAAAATTCCTAGGTGTCTGGGTTGATAAAAATCTCAACTGGAAGACGCATATTGACACATTATGTAAAAAACTTAACCAGTATTCTTATGCTTTACACAAACTAGCTAAAGTTGTAAACCAATCTACGGTATTGGTTGCTTATCATGCCTATGTTTCATCAACTTTAAAATATGGTATTATATTTTGGGGAAATTCTACGGACAGGGAAATAGCTTTCAGAGCCCAAAAGAAATGCATACGATCAATCTGTCAAATTAAACCTACTGAAAGTTGTAAACCTTACTTTAAATCCTTAAATCTACTAACCCTCCCATCAATTTACATTGAGGAGGTATGTTTATTTGTCAGAAGAAATCCTCCTTTATTCTCAGTACATAAAAGTATACGACACAAAAACAGAATATGCTCAACTGAACACAAAACAGCATTGTTTACAAAAAACTTACCAGGTATGGCACCGCGAATTTATAATAAATTACCACATACCATAAGAAATAAAGAAGACTTATTTATTTTTAAAAAAATCCTACACGACTTTTTAATTGATAAAGCATACTACTCAGTTAGCGAATTCCTCCTGGATAGATCCATTTAAAGACATTATTCTACATAAATTGTTTGTTTGACCTTGTTATTATCAAATCTATGTGACAAATTGACATACTAATGTAATATTAAATTCTATCTACTAAATTTGACATTGTTAATTATTATTGTGACATTTAATTTAATTCTTTTGTATAATTTCTTGAATCACGAAAAATTGATTCTGTTGCATGCCGATATGGTATGATGTAGCTGAACAATATATTTTTTTATGTGACCTATAATATGTACCTACATTATGCAATAAATGATTTTGATTTGATTTGATTTGATTTAGTTTCTTCTTTATTGCTTGCTTTTTAAGTTCATTTTTGGTTGCAACCATTCCAGGTTACGCTTATACGAAGCCAAGGAGACCCGAGGCTCTGAGTGCAGTCGCGACCTGTGCAAGGTGGTGCAGGATCTGCAGCACATCGACACCAACTGCCTGGTCCAGGCATTCAGCTGCGCTTGCTTCGAACTAGAAAGATGCTTGCAGGTGTGGCCTTATTATGCTATGAAATTCAATGCTTGAACTGTTCCCTCATTTTGTCAATCTACCCTATTTCAGACTTGACGGGGTTGTCCAAAAAACTGAAAGTCATTTTTTTTTCCCGTTACATTAGGATCTTCAAAATCATATTGGAAGTATGTCAGGCACAGCAAAAAATATAGGAGAGGCGGACGCAGATTTATAATCGTAGTTATTGTTACGGTGTTCTTTTAGCTTTTAACGTTTTTACGCGAGAGAGAGAGACGGATTATCTTAACAATTATTCTTTTACTATGTTCATCTATGGAGTTTTTTGGACAAACATGGATATAGCATCGTTGAATAATATAATAGACTTAAAGAAATTCGAAGAAGGTTAACGAGCGAGCTTTTTTGCGAGCGGTAACAAATCAATAGAAACGTGTTAGGGCATCCTGTTATGTGATCAGCTGATTTCTATTCGACCCAGCACTATCCACTTTTAGAGACGGCCACTAGAATCTTAATGTAGTGGGTAGCTGGAAATAGTTGCCTAGGCACTTTCTCAAGATCCTGGAGCTCTGTTGAGAATACACCATCACTGTTATTAATCTTTCTTACGACCAATTTCAGTCTGACACGATAGATCCTTAACCGAAAGGCTAGGTAGGTACCTACTTTGATAAGATAATTAAGTAACAACACTAGTTTTTTACCTATTTGCAAGTTATTTAGTTCAGTGCAACCTGTGCAATTGCAACCTTTTGAAATCCGTTAAAAAAGTTTATTATGTAGGTATCACGTTTAGATTTTCCCCGAATCGTTCAGAAGAAATTCTGACTCTTATAATAATTATGATTGTATCTACAAAGCTTGATCAAGAACCATTTCTTCAAAGTAAATAGATTTGTTCTACTTTCAATATTCAGCTTGCCAATTGATGCAAAACTTACTGAACCGGTATAAAGCTATCAGCCTCAGGTTTGATGACATTACGGCGTCTCAGCTAACTAACTCTCGCTTGCAACAGTGTCAAACTCGGCGGAAACTTGCTCCAAAGCTGCCTTTGAGCGTGGCTTGCCTTTGATACCACATTAGCAATGATTAGAACTTTCCGCGAGCACTGTTAACCTCATTGCGAATATTAGCCTATTGAATTTCTTGTTGGAGCACTTCAGGGTTTTAACGATCGCTGGAAATGGGATTAATGTGTTATTATAAGTCTAGCGCTTGAGGTATGGGACCGGCACGGGAGGGTGTTTTTGTAACGTCAAATGTCAGCGAGACTTCAGATCTCCTTCAGATTTAATGCTCTGTCACGTCATAATATATCAATGTTACCTTTCCCGTGCCTCCCCCATACCACAAACATTGACTGAGTTTTTAACCGCTAGACCTATAGTACTCGATATTTAGGTTTTTGACGCGTGCTTGACGTATTGGTTCGCATGTCAAAAAGTTAAAATCAACCTTTACGTTCCATTGTTGTTGTCAGATCCTCACGCTCTGTCTGGGCAATGTCGACTCTCCCAACTTATTTGCTTGCTATAGGATATCGATATGAGCACATTATACACATGTTGACATTTACGAGCCATGGTTTGTGTAATAAACCCATAAAAACCCTCACAATCTACTCAAGAATTCGCGTAAACTAACAATGCCGGTCAGACTACGGTGGCGCCAATCTGTCTTGTGAAAGACAATAAATTCAAGTCTGTTGTCAGTGCGTGTGTGGTATTGTGTAACAAGGATAAACTGTATGCTGTATAGTGTCCGACCGAATATGGATTTTCAGCCGAAAACGGAAACGAAAACGAAGCTTCGGCTGCAGTCTCATTTTCGGCCGAAAACGAAAACGAAAACGAAAATGACCTTCAACTCTCTCAATCTGAAATAATGTAAAAACTTTGAAAACCGATAATGTTTTGACCAAAAACATAATGAAGTTTGACAGTTCATTTTGATAAGGATTGATTAAAGAAAACCGGCATTAAAACACAAAAAAATTAATCATGAATTCTTAGTAGAATATTATTTCCGGTGTATATTGAAATATTGGGAAGTGAAGAAGAAATAAAGGGTGTCCAGTGGACTGGGAATTTTCCAAATAAATTAATGATTTTTTATTATTTATTACTAATGCAAACTGGAGTTTAACAATGCGGATTTAATTTTTATTGGCTCTGTGCACGATTACAGCGCCAACTAGCGTCCACAACTTTGTGGGCTCTGTCACATTGACATTTAGGTCGTATATTTGTGAAAAAATATCGAAATGAAAAAATAACAAATATTTTCAACTAATAAATTGTTGTGATACCACGATTTGGGTGGAAAAAAGGTTTTGAAATCATTTTGGTCATTCAAATCAAATGAGGTAAGTCCAAAAAGTGTGTTTAATTTTGATTGTGTCAGGGTTTGTTTATTTCATTTATAATTGTAGTTTTACAGTAAAACAAAAAGAAAAAGCTACTTTAATGGTTTCATTATATAACAGTAAATATATTTAAATGTTCCTGTATTGCTAGTAATAAATTAAATATCGTTTTCAGATCGAAATGAGTATTGTTTTGAAGACCGGGTTTGTGAGTTTTACAATATCAAATTCCAACCACAAACCGTATTTTAAGAAAAGTTGTTGGTATTGGCTGGACAAGTCCGAGATGTAGAAGAATTAAGAACAAAACAAGGGCAGAGTTCAATAATTCACGCTCTCATCATAAGGCAAACATCTGTGCACAACAACTACTGTGACTCATTTTTGTACTACCACGTTGTATAGTTTAGTTATTTCCAAATTGTAAACGGCTATTAAAACAGCCCTATCGAAATACAGTCCACTCTTTTATTTAAGTTCCCAGTAGGACCCTTTTCATGCGATTAATTAATGATATTAAAATGTATTATGTAGAANATAGGCAATGTCTTTTAAATTATGCCCGTTTTACTATCTTAGGCACTCTCACAGCCGGACCCTTACATTCGCAACTATGCGAGAGCAAATCGCGCTAATAATTTTCCTGCAACTTCACGGCGGATATTTTCTTACAGAACCTGAATTATTTACTTTTGACTTGAGATAACCCTACAAGAAAAAGTCGCATGGTGTGAGATCTGGTGACCGAGGCTGCTAGGGTATGTCTCTGTACTTGCTGATCACTTATTTGAAAAAAAGAAAAAATAGTCCTCAGTGTCTCCATCGAGGTACTATCCGTGTGTTGTTCTTCACACCTTCTTGCTGAAATAGAGTTACGTAGTTGACCGGGATGCAGTTGCAGTTGTGGTATCAGACATTCATCGATCATTCGACAATACATTTCAAATACTTATTGCTCAACTGCGAACGCTCTGTAGGCTCCCGACCAGTGACTCATGGCGTATTTCAAATCCGCATTACTCTATTTTGAAACAATTAAACTTAATGAAAACTCTTTGGTTTTATTGTATTCAATTTTGAACTTGGAAAATTCTCGCTGGACACCCTTTACAACGTAACCTCACTTCACAACTTCAAAAGAGTGTGACAATACCGCGTCCGTTCAAGTCTGATTGGAACCATGAGTGATATCGGAACGATAAACGTCACCATCTTATTCACGTATTTCTGATATTCGGTTTGGCCGAAGCTTCGGCTGGTTTTTGGCCGAAAACGAAAATATGGCCGAATGTCCATTTTTTGGCCGAAAATGGCCGAAAACGAAAACGAATATTCGGTCGGTCACTAATGCTGTAGCAATCTGCGGATTTTTAGACTAGAAATAGAAATACTATGCACATGATTAAGATAGGAGGCGTATGTCGTTTCGTAAAGTCAAACTTTTTCTGATTTTATTAAGCTCAATATCGAGTCTGTCTAGCTCGATTCGCTAGATATTCTGTTCTATTCTTTCGTTTCTTATGACACCATGTTATTGTATTGGACACAATAACATGGTGTCCAAACGACACCATGTTGGATCAGTAGGCTTGATAAACGTTTTTTTTTTTCGCGACATTTTATCGATTTTGCACGATAAGCCCATACGTTCTTCCAAAGTCGTCAATAAGATTTTATCATGACACGCATCCTATGTAGACCACAGCTCATTATTAGGTTAATCATCATCAGGACCTTGTGAATTACTGACCTGAAGAACCACCTCTTTCTTACCAGAACAGTGACATAGTTCTGATCCTGGAGAGCGGCTACATAAACGTGGATATGCCGTTCGACAAGCGATTCTGCTACCAGGCGCCCATAGTGAAGAAGTACACTGACGCGATCGCCACCGAGTGCCCGAAGGCCTTCGTGATCGTGTGTGCCACGCCTATTGACTGCATGGTGCCTTTGGTCGCTGAGGTATACTTGACACTTTTATAAGGCTATTAATTTGTGCAGTGACTTTAAGAAAATTAAGATTCGGTCAAACCAACGCGTGCAGCTTGCTTTAGCGACGTGCATGCCGCAACAGGACGCGTTATGATGTGAACTTATCGCTACAAATTCATACACGATACCTGATCGTTTGGCCGATCCTTTAGTAGTTACGTTGCCAGGTGTCCCAATTTGCATAGTATAATATCCTAATTTTCTGGGGTAATGTTACACATGTGAATTCACCCTTGATCGGTGCACTAATAACCTTATTTTTCATTATCTATAGCCTATACTTAAATCAATATCGATTTGACACTGGGCATAGCCATACTTACTACTGGAAATAAATTGCCAAACTATTCAAAACTACTCTGCTATTCCAAGTTGCAAAAGAATCAAAATCTTCAGGTTACCTACCTTACTTTGAGCTACGAGTAGCTGTTTGGTTTTCGTCTAGCTAGAGCCTATGTCATAATAATGATGAATGACCCAGAAGAAAACTGTTTACTAACTACAGGAGTATCGCACACAAATGTATAAAATCGTTAACGATCTTAATTATTACTTCTATCAAACACAACACTTAGGGTTTTATGCGCGTCATTAATTCCTTGAATGGATAATAAATTATAACTGTGACTACTTCAATTAAATTACGGTGAGTGTAGTATAATTTCAGGTTAGAGCCGTTAATCAATGAAACGCCGTATGAATAAATGTTAAATGCTCCACTTTAAGTCATTTATAAATCTAGGACAATAACCTAGAATCTGTTTCCTTGGTTTAGAAATTGAATTACTGAAAAAAAATTTCATATCTAGAACATCTACGTAATGGCTAAAAAAGTAACATTTAAACACCATTAAAATCTGTACAAGACCTCGTAAACAAGGAGCCGAATTTTGACGTTAATATTATTAATGCTGTTCTTGCCACTTTATTGCACGTTCTGAGTCTGAGGGAAGTGAGTTAAGTAATCAATTTCAGGACCTGTGACTTAACTTTCGAAAACACCTGTTTATAATCGAATATTTAATGATAGATCGCCCGGAGTCCTGCCAGCAGGACTTAAAGTACTTCCGGTAGGACGCAAAATTAAAAGATCACAGTTTCGTAAGTATACATTGTACAAATTTCAAATTTACACGAAAAAATAGAGTGTTTCTCTCTCTTTCACCCAATAGTGCCCAAGATCGAAAAACGCGACTAACCGTTAGTCGGAGCCCGATGGCGCACGAGTATACACGGGGGCAGCGCGTTCGCGCTCGCGCGACACATTTTGACGCGCCGGGCGTGGAGTCGGCAACATTTTGGCGATAATATTATAATGAATGTGAAGTATTCCAGCCTAATCAAACATTTATAATTTATTTCTTGTTTTTGTTTTTAATTTGTAGTGTATTTGTAAGTGATAGGTGTAATTTCTAATACAAAGTGACGTACCAAAGTAATTAATTTAAAGTTCCTTATTATAGTTCCTATTAGTTAAGTTGAAAGAAGATAAACAAGTTTATAATATATTAAGAAAAGTAAAATACTGGTTAAACAAAATGATTCTACGACATGACTTTTTATTTAATAAACACTAACCAAGTGTTTACTACTTCTGGTGAGGATGAGTTCAAATTTGAAGGTCACCGTACTGCTGGAAGGACCAGCAAGCAAACACGTACAAATTGCGTACTGCGGGCAGGACTTGCGATAATCTTCTGGCAGGACGTTTAGAACAAAAGACCAGTCCTTCCAGAAGAGCTTCCAGCAGGACAAAGCACCGGGCGATCTATCATTAACCGCCAACGGAAAAAGGGGTTTATTATTGTTACGGGCAGACGATTTACAATCCCTTATTGAGACAGTTCTACTCAGAACAAGTCCCGGCCTGAGTGATAAATATTTTACATGTGTTCCCCTGGGGACGCACTGGCAATCTCGACAAAATTACTTTATTTCGGACGCGAGCCCTTTATGCCAACTCAACAATTCGTCGGAGCCCTGAGTAGGAGCTTATATCGCTCTTGTTTTAGGTCCATGATACAATTGGTTATGACATATTTCGATAAAATCGTCCAATTTTAAAGATTATTCAAAGTGAGACTATTATTTTGTAGGTTCTACTGTAGGGATCAATTCGCTTGACATACAGATAGGTAAATGTGGGAATGAATTCTGACTGAAATCTGTTATTTACAAGAACTGCTGAATAATTTGTTACAGCTTCAAATTCTACTTCTATGTTATGAAAGAAAGCAGAACAAAATACTTCACAAGATTTTTTCTTGCTCATTCATTACCTAAAACCTTTGATGTCATTAAAATTGGGTTAGTAGAGTAGTGATGTTGCGTAATGGATCCAATTTGGCCACGTAATTTGGTGTTAGTTTTTCCATCTCGGTTATTCGGTCAACTTAGCGCGTTATGGGACGCGCAAAAAGTGGCGTACCGAACAGCAAACTGATTGCCTCTGTAACCGTAATAGCTGTACAGTTTAGGCATTTGTATCGCCAATTATCGTCATTTGATTTTTGTGAAGGCACGTCATGTCTCATTAGTCAATTTAAAAAATGGTTAAAAAAAATATAACATGTAGAGATATAATGTAGATAGATGAAGAATGCTGTATGCTTTTTATACAGCAAGACACGACTACAAGTGCAATTTATTAATTTAAGTACCAAATCCAACCAAACCAAATCCCTCTTCTAGTTATAAGTACGCTCTCAATAGCACCATTTCAACCTGATCCACAGACTCTAAAGGAGACGGGCTGGTACGACCCTCGAAAGGTGTTAGGATCGCTCGCAGTGCCCGAGATGCGCGCAAGCACCCTGGCTGCGCGTGCGCTTTGCCTCGAACCTCGATACACCAGGGTTCCTTGCGTTGGCGGCACTGAAGGCGAATCTTTAGTGCCACTGTTCTCCAAAGCGGTAGAGTACTTCGACTTCGCAAAGGTAAACTTTTTCCTATTGACACGAAGCCAGACAAAGACAATTGAATTGCTAAATCCGTCAAATCGGTTTGGATTATTTGGGAAATCCCATTCGAATCCTTAGAGGCGTAGTAATAGTTGGACTATGAAATGCCTCGTGTCTCGTATTTGATTTTAGCGATCCACGTTAAACTACACTCGGCATCAAATAAATCACACCTCCCGCGACAAGCACTTATCAAAAGTTCTAGTATCATATATCAAAGCCTAGTTCTAAACTTCATTTCATTAAAGGAAAGGTTTTTACCCCAAAAATGTGTCTTTACAAGGATCCAGAGTCACTTCTTCAAAAAATAGGTAGTTACGCTATAGCCATTTTTTATGACTATAAAACTGTTAAGTTGCGATTATACGCTATCCATCTGTTAAAGAGGACACGTGAGATCTTTATTTGGTTTTGTAACCATAAAAATTGGTCTAATTGATCCCAGAGGTGAGCCCAAAGTGAGGTCTATTTTCAAGTCACATTTATGGTATATTATTATGTTAATAATTTATTTAGAAATGAAATGTATTTTTCTTTAAGGATATTTATTGGGCTTTCAAATAACACCAATATTGTTGGGGTACCATGATTGTGTCAGAAGAAAATCTTTAAAGTTCGCGTCGCGGAAGATGCGGTTTATTTGATGTTGAGTGTAGATAACATCATTGCTAATTACACAAATACAAACAAAATGTACAGGAACATCGTACCGTTCAGCTTTCATTAGATAAGCAGTAGAAAGTCTACGACCATAATTTAGCAAGATTTAGCCGAATTTGTGGTCTACTCCTAATCCTGGCCTTCCAAGCGTATTGCGTCATACTGACGTTGATCCTACCCATCCTTTTCTCCCCAGCATAACGCTGAGATGATGACAGAAGCGGTCCGCAGTGCCCCAACTGCAGTAGCGCGATCAGACGGCGTGTGCAACCGCGCGGCGGACCTAAGCGAGGCGCATGCGCTGGCCGGACTCGTCACGAAGGTTGCGTGGGCGCTGCTGTGCAAAGACGTGCCAAGGGTCACGGGTTTCGTTGAAACGGACGCTGGGCAGGTCATTTCTCCGGCCAGGTGAAGATCTTATTTCATTATATCGTTAGATACGAACCTCTGCTTTAATTATTAGGTCTTTAGCATACTGCCACGTAGTTACCGGGTAATTAGTTCATGAAGAAACATTTATGAGCACTTTTTTTTATATCTCTGAAAAACTAAACAGATTGATGCTTCAAGCTTCAATTCGATAGCTGCAAACAGTATATATAGCCTGACCAGGAACATAAAAACCCTCGCCATGTTGCGGAAAACTAATGGTACTAATTTCTTTTAATGGCAACAGTAACTGAAAACTTCATTGACATGTCACCTTGCATGTCAGTCTATTGCTGTCAAAGTGTAAACAAACTTTATTTTAAATGTGCGCAATTGATTTTGTGAATTAAATTGCTAAAATCTTTTTATAGTCGTGAAATAAAAGTGGTTCACAATGTGTTCAAGTATTTGTCGAAGAGAAATAATAAGGGTTCGGACAATATTTTCATTGAATATTTTTTCCGACAAGGGTGTCAAATTGACTGACATGTTTATCGTATAGTACAGTCCACTATGAAAATTAGCTGTGGTTTGTTTCAACTACCTATTTTAAAGTTTTTTGTCACTTTCTAAGTGTTGAATTTTATGGAATTGGGAAAGAAGTACCGAGTTTGTAGCGTTCATGAGCAGACATTGCAGTTGAATATTCAAGTTCTGAATTTGATTATTGATGAATAATAAAATAAATCCTACTAGCTCGATTGATGTTTTCATTTAATTTATTTAAACCAGGTTACCTATAATAATATTTTTTTGTTAATTCATGAAAATATCAAATTAGCCCGTAATCCTGAATCCTGATACATAAAGTTAGCCTATTAATTTAACACAGGTACGACTGTACTCAGTGTTGCACTATCAAATGCAATTGAAGCGCCTCTATGCCAGGGTTTTTATGTTCCTGGTCAGGCTATACCTTAATTCTTTAGAAATTTCCTTAAATGTAAACAAACACTTCTGCACACAATTACACCATAATCACTTACGTGTTCATAATATCATACACATTATTTCACAAGCCCATGAAACCAACTTTATTCTCACGATTATACAAGTTTGGAATCAATCTTTAAACAAATTATTTTAGCAAAATTATGTGAAAGATGAAAATTTGTGAGACTTGTCAAATTGACTTGAAGTTTAATTATTATGACTGTGTTATCTCCATGNACGATGAATGATAAATGTAAAAAACTTAACCAGTATTCTTATGCTATAGTATAGCTAAAGTTGTAAACCAATCTACGGTATTGGTTGCTTATTAGGGTGGAGCGAAAAAANCAATATGACAATAAAAATATTAAAGAAACTGACGTAACAAAATTCCTAGGTGTCTGGGTTGATAAAAATCTCAACTGGAAGACGCATATTGACACATTATGTAAAAAACTTAACCAGTATTCTTATGCTTTACACAAACTAGCTAAAGTTGTAAACCAATCTACGGTATTGGTTGCTTATCATGCCTATGTTTCATCAACTTTAAAATATGGTATTATATTTTGGGGAAATTCTACGGACAGGGAAATAGCTTTCAGAGCCCAAAAGAAATGCATACGATCAATCTGTCAAATTAAACCTACTGAAAGTTGTAAACCTTACTTTAAATCCTTAAATCTACTAACCCTCCCATCAATTTACATTGAGGAGGTATGTTTATTTGTCAGAAGAAATCCTCCTTTATTCTCAGTACATAAAAGTATACGACACAAAAACAGAATATGCTCAACTGAACACAAAACAGCATTGTTTACAAAAAACTTACCAGGTATGGCACCGCGAATTTATAATAAATTACCACATACCATAAGAAATAAAGAAGACTTATTTATTTTTAAAAAAATCCTACACGACTTTTTAATTGATAAAGCATACTACTCAGTTAGCGAATTCCTCCTGGATAGATCCATATAAAGACATTATTCTACATAAATTGTTTGTTTGACCTTGTTATTATCAAATCTATGTGACAAATTGACATACTAATGTAATATTAAATTCTATCTACTAAATTTGACATTGTTAATTATTATTGTGACATTTAATTTAATTCTTTTGTATAATCTCTTGAATCACGAAAAATTGATTCTGTTGCATGCCGATATGGTATGATGTAGCTGAACAATATATTTTTTTATGTGACCTATAATATGTACCTACATTATGCAATAAATGATTTTGATTTGATTTGATTTGATTTGAAAAATTCAATGTTTCCTTCTTCCATACATTTTGTACTACTACATTCATGACACTCATCTCTTGACAATATTATAGCAAGTAAAGCCTAAAACCATTGTTTTCCATGAATAATTTAAAATAAGAATACAATTTACGAGTTTATTTTCAGTTTATTATTAAATAAAAAAAATTACACTTCTAATATTGTGTGTCTGGCATACATTTAGTATGGAAGCTGGATACATTGAATTTTCAGATAGATCCAGTTTATTCTGTAACCTATTATTGGTACTGTTTAAAAGAACTCTTGAAGCACTTTCAGGATCAGTAACCAGGTTTTCAATATCTTGTATAGTTTAGAAATTATCGAGTGAGATCACTTAACGTTTCCACCCTGTATACTGTTGTTAAGTAGGTATTATTGTACTTTCTATTTTAAATAAAATTTTGATGTCATAAATTATTAAAATACGTGTGAAGGTATACAAAACATTATTTCGGGGTAAACGCATTCTCGCATCCAATTTACTGCACCGTCCAACAATAATGGGTTTTAGCTAGGGTTGTCGTGAAACGCGTGTGAAACGTAAGTGAAATGCGTGTGAAACGTAAGTGAAATGCGTGTGAAACGTAAGTGAAATGCGTGTGAAACGTAAGTGAAATGCGTGTGAAACGTAAGTGAAATGCGTGTGAAACGTAAGTGAAATGCGTGTGAAACGTAAGTGAAATGCGTGTGAAACGTGAGTGGTTCTAGCTAAGTTAATATTAAAACACGCATTTTAAACGGGATCCTGCAAAAAATGGGTTGTCTCCTGTTGGAACAAGCTCCCCAACCCGTCTGGCCGACGTAAGGTGTGTAGGATTCTTCCACGCAAAAACTACTGAACGGATTTTGATGAAACTTTCTTGACTCTTTCCCTGTTCAGCCACGTCCACAGCAGGACAGTCTCAAATCTACAGATTTAAAATTGATTTGTTTTCACTAAATATAATTATTTAATGTCTGGGCATTTTTTTTCATCTAGTGGCAACCCTACGCGAGCAATAAACACTACCAGCCCTGACCATTGTGTGCGACCAGACGTGAGGGGTGAACGCATTATTGATTCCCTGCTCAAGGGTACCATAATGGGGTGGTTTGAATTTTTACCCGATTATCCGGGAGATTTGATAGATTTAGGGTCAATGTAGACTTGTTAGCGTTATATTTATTCATAAATTATTCGTAGGTACCTATAGCTATGCTCGGTGTTTCCTTGCGAGATCGAATCAGAAATGAGGAGATCCGTAAACGAACCAAAGTCGCTGACATAGCCCGACGGATTAGCAAGCTGAAGTGGCAATGGGCAGGGCACATAGTACGCAGAACTGACGGCCGATGGGGCAGCAAGGTTCTGGAATGGAGGCCGCGTACCGGAAAACGCAGCGTGAGACGTCCACCTACAAGGTGGACCGACGACATCGTAAAGGTAGCAGGGAAGCGCTGGACGCATGCCGCTACCAATCGATCAACATGGAACGCATTGGGGGAGGCCTATGTTCAGCAGTGGACGTCCTGTGGCTGAAATGATGATGATGATGAGGTACCTATAAATACTGAACTTTGTTTTTTGAAAATTCAAATTTAAATAACTCCGAGGTGACTGACTGACATAGTGATCTATCAACGCACAGCCCAAACCACTGGACGGATCGGGCTGAATTTTGGCATGCAGGTAGATGTTATGACGTAGGCATCCGCTAAGAAAGGATTTTACGAAACTCCACCCCTAAGGGGGTAAAACGGGATCCACGCGTACGAAGTCGCGGGCGGACGCTAGTTTTATTATATAATTATGCTTTCAGCGTATGTTTTGTTGGTTGTCCTTAAATAAATAAATAAATAAATTATCCATGAAAGCTTTCGCTTGGCATGAAAGAGACGGATATATGCCAAAATTTGGATAACAATGTAGTGCCCGGAGTCGATCAAAAATCCCGGCGTTCCCGGGATAATCCCGGGACAATTAAAAGCGAGCTGGGAGCGGGCAAATTGCATGTTCCCTAGGGATGGTGATGCGTGGTTAATCGCTCAGTTAATAGGGAGTGACCTTTGGGTTTTATAATTATTTTTGACGACGCTTTTAGGGGTGGGACTCGTTGCTCGAACCCTTATTTTAAATCGGGACAGACAAAAAAGCCGGGATTGGAATGAAAAAATTTAGTCTTGTAAAAATGCATTAGAATAACAATCCTCCAGTGAAAGTACTAACTTAGATTTAAAGACAAACCATACAAAGTCAAAGTTTTTATTCGGTACTTAGGTCCGTTCCAGGGCACTTATACACGTCCCAAATAGCTTGCCCTACCACTACTTCGGGACAACATATGGGCTGGTGCTGAGAAGAAGTGGCGGAAGAAACTCAGTCACCTTTGTCCGCCTCTTTTTCATCTGCAACCTACCATAATAGCTATAACTGCTCCTTTAATAGAAATTCTTTTCTGAATTTTGTTTGCAACAAAGGTTGACTGGAAGAGACGAAGATGTAAAATAAAGTTTTAAATAAATGAAATTATGACAAAAGGATCCCGTGAAAGTCCCGTTCATACTATTAGCGGGACACGTTCCGCGGGACATCCTGCCAAAAGCGAGACATTTCGCAACACTATGTGGGAGTGATAATTATTTTCAGTTAGCTCAGATGATAATAATTAAATCTTGACATTTTTTAACAAATTATAATGGTTGCCTTTTTAGCAATTCCATAGGTATTATGTATTTTTTACTAAACACGAGCTAATATTTTTTGCACCCCAACTCAC